GGCCCCAAAACTGCCTGAGCCCTTAGAATCGTCCAGCCCTGAGTTGGATTTAGGAAAGGCAGTAGGTGGGGGGACTGGTCAGTCAGTCGATAGCAGCCTCTGGTGGATTTACACGAAAACAGCAGAAGCAAATGTCACTTGTGAGGAAAATTTAAGATCTGAAAAAACGTACACAGCAGTCGTTTGGGCCCCTAATAATATCTATGGGGGTCCCAAAACAGCATGATCTCTTAGAATCGTCTGCCCCTGGATTGGATTTAGGAAAGCCAGTAGGTGGGGGATTGGTTAGTCCGTTGGTCAGTCAGTCGACAGTGGCCTCTTGAGAAATTTTTTTTTTGGCCAGCGGAGAAATTAAAATGGTCGTGCCCAACTGAGTCTGGTTCTCTCAAGGTTTTTTTTCTTCACTCCCATCAGGTGAAGTTTTTTTTCCCTCTCCACTGTTGCCACTGCCTCGCATGGTTCAGGATTGGTAGAGCTACGCATCGAGGAATTGGCTCTTCAGTGTTTGAACTCTCAGTAATGATTAAATCACACTGAACTGAGCTAAATTGAACTGAACTGAACTTAAACACTAAAACCTGAACCACACTGTTCCAGTTACTATGACCATTTATGTGAAGCTGCTTTGACACAATCTACATTGTAAAAGCGCTATACAAATAAAGCTGAATTGAATTGAATTGAAATTTACATAGGGGTACGTAATCAGAATGAACCTGGGTTGAAATTAGGATAGAACTTTTTTTATTCTGGGGTGAACTAACCCTTTCATTTGATTACATCTTCAATAAAGTTTATTCAGTAATTAACCTATAAATACTTTATATAAGCCCTATAAATAAATGAAATAAATCTATTTACTATATTATTTAAATTGACTCAAGCTAATGATCTGTTTTGTAATGATGCCATTGTACTTTATCTTGGTTACAGAAAGGTTCATTTGCTGTCACTGAGAGAACAAACAAATTAGCAAACAAAAAAAACCTTGCATCTTTGGCAGCATCCATTTAACCTAAATATAGGCTCATTTGTCTTGTAAATGTTTGTTCAAAGAGCTTCCTAGAGGTGTAAGCTAAGTGACAGGCAAAGAGAGTGAGAAGTGAAGCCAGAAATAAAAAGCAGATCTTCAAGAGCATCTGCCAGGCTAACTTTGGCCACTGTCTACAATGTCTTAGTCGGACAAAAGTAAATTAAAACATAATAAGGGTCGGAAGGCTTGTCATGCATTTGTTACTTTAAAACATAAGCCATTTATATGGCAGGCATTTTACAAAGTTTATGTCAGTTTTGCCAGCAAAACTGTGGACTTTGCAGGGAAGCACAACAATTGTATGGACCTCACCAAGAAGTTCAGCCAACACAGGAAACAAAGCACAATAAAATAAATTTATTGGACCTAAAGAAAGCCCAAGTGGCCACGTAAAAAAATACTTCAGGATCCAACTCCAGGCAGAAGAAGCTGTTGTCCATTTCTGAGTTTTCAGAGGACAAAGGAAGATAAAAAGACAAACCAGATGGGCAGTCTGAGAAACACTCCAACCAGCAATAAAGGTGAATAAATGTGCAAGAAAAACTCATCGACTTATCCCAACTGCAATAATAGGGTTTACATGTTAAGTACTAAAAAGTGTTTGCTTGCTAAAAGTCTTCAGTGATTTATGTGGGAAATCTTTAAGTGACATGTTTAAATTATACATACATACATGCCTCTTTATGACCAGTCGCTCGATGGCTTCTTTGATAAATGAGTCTTCTAAGTGTAAGGTAAATGTATATATGTGACTATGGACCAAAAAAGCAGTATTAAGTGTACATGTTTTGTAATTGAAATTTTTACATTGCTACCCAAGTAAGCTTTACATTGATGTACAGTACAATGTAAAAAAGCAATTAGTTGACTACTTTAAAGGGCACCTGTGTTGAAAATCATCTTTTGTAAGCTGTTTGAACAGAACTGTGTGTAGGTATAGTGTGTCCACAGTCATATTCGGGTGATATAAAGACAGTAAGTCTCTTTTTTTTAATTTTCTGACGTTAAAATAGCATCCAAATTCTTCCCATTTTGAGGCCGACCACAACGTGACGTTGTAGTGTGGTTATCCCCGCCCACAGAATTGATTGACAGTCACGTATTAACATGTCTCTGTAGTAACCCGTATAATCATATCAACAAGACAGAACTTGTGCAAAGCAACTGGGATTAAAAGATCTGTTCAGCTCTCTGTGTTTACAGTGATTTTACCGTCTTTACTTTATCAACACAGCCACATGTCAGTACCATTATAAAAGAAGACGATTTAGTCCCGGTTTGTGGACGTTAAATCAGGTTAATTTTGTACATTAAGATAACGCAGGCCCGTGCAGAGACCGTCTAAAGGGCATGTGCAGGATAAATTTTTTGAAGGAGGTGGGGGGGGGAGTGTTGTTGTTATTCGCGCACGTACTGAAGAGCGATGTTGTCGCGTGCGTACTGTAAAGCGGGGGGGGGGGGGGTAAGGGGGGTTGAGCGTGCTTACTCAAGAGTGGTGTTGTCACGTGCCAACTCAAGGGCGGGACGGAGGGTGTGTCGCGTCGCGGGGGCACTTGATCATTTTGGAAGGGCACTTTCTATCCAAGACTAAAAAGGCCCTATGTGAGCCCTATGTGTGCACGTGCCTGAGATAACGGATATCCAAACAGCATATATGAATACGGATATTCCATATTAACGTGTATCCGGTCACATTTTCTGTGCAAAAACAGTGCAAAGTTAAACGAGCGCACTGAGAAAGTTCTTACTGTAGTATTTTTCACAATTGTTACATGAGGTCTACTTCCTTCATGTCTTTAACTGTGCTGTTTATCTGACACAGCCGGAGACGGAGACACAGGCTGTGTCTGAAACTGCCTACTACTCAGTAGGTAGTGCATTTGAATTTAAAGGTACTACTCGGCCGATAGAAAAGTATGCTCTCTACAGTATGAATGTGAGCAGTATGAATGGAATTCAGATGTACTACATCTGCCATTTTGTCATGGTCACATGACCTACCAGCAGCAGTTGCATTGCTTCACTTCCATTTGTGAATTCTCTCGCAGGGCATCATGAGATTCACCATGGGATGCGCACTTCAGAATCTTGCAGGAAGTAGTAAGTTATCCGGGTACTTCTCGCATACTGATTTTCGAATTCTATGAATTCAGACATACTACTCGTCTCGCATACTGATTTTAGTGTACTGTACAGTAGGAAAGTATGCAGTTTCAGACGCAGCCACACTCTGACAGGCACGTGGAAACAGTGAGCAAAGAGAACTAGCTCATTTGCATTAAAAGGCACATGCAACAAAAACAGCTACAATGTGTTTAGAGCAGAAAATTCTAATATTCGAAAGGTATAATAAATAATCTGATGGGTGTTTTGAGCGGAAACTTTACAGACACATTCTGGAGACACAAAGGACTTATATTAAATCTTGAAAAAGAGGTAAAATAGGTGCCCTTAAAACAAGTGAGTAAACTCATTGCCTTAAAATTATTAAGTAAATGAACAATGTGTATGATTATAAAAATTAAGTTAAGCAAACTTAACAGTTCTAAGTGAAAATGAAACTACTCAGATTTTTAAGTAAAATCAACATATTTTAAAGGTAAAGGGTTTTTAAAAAATTTAAGTAGTTGCTTTTTACAGTGTATAATTTTTTAGGACAAGGCAATATTTGGCAGAGATACAGGTATTTTCAAATCTGGAAAGTGAATAAAAAATTTTCAAGTGAAAAAAATTAAATACAGAGAAAAATTGCTCTTAAAGTTATTTATATGTAGTGCTTAGTAATGCACAATACTAACAGTAACAAATACGAACAAAATATTTTGATGGAACATGATCTTTACTTAATATTCTAATGATTTTTAGCATAAAATAAAAATCATTTTGACCCATAAATGCATTTGTGGCTATTGCCAAAATTTTACCAATGATCTTTTTTGACAGAAATTTCAAGGGAAAAAAATCATTATTTGGCAAAGGTCAAGATAAAACTATGCTGTAAAAGATTATATGAACAATTAGTCATGACAACATATGTTTTTAGTTCATTGTAACTTATTAAACCAAGTTAATCATGTTCTGTAATCATGTTTATAAGGTATGCAAGCAGTTTTAAATCAGTTTAACATAATATAAGTTCAATGGACTCATAAGGTTAATCTGATTCAGCTTAAAAAATTTAAGACAACCAGGATTTTTCTTTTACTGTGTAGATGATAATGACCTCAGAGAGGGATTTATTTATTTATTTATTTATTTATCTATTTATTTTAACCATTTATTTACTAAAATCCAGAAAATGACCTTTTCATTTTAAACTTCATAAAAAAGGGTGTTGCCAGATGTTGCTTCATGACCCGTAAGATTTTATGGCATTTAATAATTATGCTTATCAGATATGTATCTTTTTTACAATTTTCACTGTGTTCTCAGATTCAATTTGTGCATGAGCATGTTTTAAATTGCCATATGAAGACTCCACACAAAATATTAGATTTTGTGGTATGAACTGCATTTATATTGACTTTTGGAGCATGATATAGGTCTGTTGTCATTCATTCATTTTCTTTTCAGCTTAGTCCCTTTATTAACCAGGGGTCACCACAGCAGAATGAACAGCCAACTTATCCAGCATGTTTTAGACAGCGGATGCCCTTCCAGCTGCAACCCATCACTGGGAAACACCCATACACACTCATTCACAACAGACAATTTAGCTTACCCAATTCACCTATTTTGCAAGTCTTTGGACTGTGGGAAAAACCGGAGCACTCCACACAGAAATGCCAACTGACCCAGCTGGGGCTCAAGCCAGCGACCTTCTAGCTCCGAAGCGACAGCACTACCCACTGCGCCACCGTGCACAAGGTCTACAGTCACTATATTAAAAAGGAAAGCTCACCCTTTATTATTATTATCACTTACTCACCTGCAGGCCTGGTCTTTGGAAGTATATGTTCTTCTTGACTCTGATAGTACAGGAAGCCATCGACTTGAGTTTTAATGGATGAAAAAATTGACAGCAATTTTTATTTTGGGTGAAATGTCCCTATAAAAAAGGGATAGATAACCCAAGAATTAAAATTATAAGCGATTTACTCACCCTTGACTTGTTTCAAACCCCATTTGAGTTTTCTTTATCAGTTGGGGCACAAAAGCAGATACTTTGAAGAATGTTGGAAAACTGTAACCATTGACTTATGGTTGTTTTTCCTGCAGTGGATGTCAACATAGCTGGTTCAAGAGAAAACAAGAAACTTGTTTTTGTTAAGAGTGAGTAAATAATAGCAGAACCATCACTTTAATGTAATATAAACAAAGCAGCATCAATAATAAATATCCCCCTGCGTTCCACATCCTATATGAGGTCAAATGGGTTTACAACAAGATGATGATGACAGAGTTTTCATTTATGGATGACCTATTGCTTTAAATGTCTTTTTGAGTGCTTTAAACCTACAGCCTTTCAGATAGCAGTCTAAAAAGTTGACCGCCATTCTCCAGGCCTCGCCGCACAGAAATAGGTTTTATGATAGCTATCCAATGTAATCACTGAATCAGGTGTACCTGCTTTTATGAGCACTTCGCTTTACTGATAAGATAACACCACACATTAAGCTGTCTCCATGTAAACAAGCCAAAACAGTAGAGGGAATACAAACGAGTCTCATCAAAAGTTTGCAACCAGACGTTGTTATATTGTTACAAAGCTATCAACTCATAAAACACGAACATCACCTTGCAGTTTAGTTCTGTGTAAGGTGAATAGTGTTAGGTGTTGGTTTAATTGACGTGAAGGGGCCCTAAACTGCCGTCTACCTTTTGAGTCCGCCCATGCAAGATCACCATTCGTGACCGGGATTGGAGCCAGATTGCTCCATGTTCTCGTTTGCTGCTTTGAGGGAGTGGTATAAACGAAAAGCAAACACAAACTAATCCGAACTCACTTTTCCTCCGGTCTGTTTGCCCGACTGTTTCTCTTGAGCTATCATTACCATTACGCAGAATAATTACATCAGCTTGCAGCCACTTCCAGGCATCGATCTGTAACTCGAATCAATCCTCCGGGGACCCAAAGGGATGAAATGGTGATCTATGGTTGTGTGTGAGGGGAAAAACCTGACTTTCAGGCACCGTCGGAGTTCCAGTCTGTGCAATAGTAGGACGGTTCCTGGTATAGCTGCATCTCTTCCTTCTAAGTGCTCTAATGAGATAGTGGGCAAGAAAAAAAGCTGTCCACGGGATGCAGCGTGTGAGAAACGGGAATATGAAGATGTGCGGCGTATGTGTAACGAGTTTCTAATTAAAGACACAGCGATGTGAGGCCACGAGGGACGACTGCTTCCGTCTGAGAGCCTCAATAAATTGGCGAGAATCGACGGCGAGTGTTTGGAGACGTTCAGAAGGCGAGCGGCGCGCGCGCTCAGAGTCCTCCAGGAGCTTTGTGTGGAGTTTTGGAAACACCAGAAAGGAGTCTGACCACTCCAACTTCCCACGCTTGAATATAATAAAGGACGGCTCGCTTTAAAGGACAGCGCGCTTCTCTCTCTCTCTCTCTCTCTCTCTTTCCAGCTCGTTTTGCGTGGGGTTTAAATAAGCACAGGACACTCGAGACTCAATAAAACAAACAGCACGCGCCAAATTCGCCTCAGGCTGCTGTGGAGATTGAAGGACACGACCGTCCTCAGGTAGGCTTACCGGAGGATTTATGACTTTGATTCTTTTTTATTATATGTCGGCTGTAACTTTGTAAGCTTTTCGCAATTAATCTACAATTTAATTATAATTTTTTTACCAAATAACCTTAAAATGTGATGCTTTTAAAATGAATGGCCTCTTTAGTCATTTCATAATATTTTGACCTACAGTACAAGTCAAAGTTTGGACACACTGCTGAATTATTTATTTATTACTCTTTTCAAAAAATAATATAGTATTAATAACCTTTAACTATGTTTTTTTTAAAGCAGAGTGATTACTATTTCTAAAACAGGTCACAGGTTTGCTAAAGTAAAGACCATAGTTTGTGTAACAAAGCCATGGTTAATTCGTGGTTACCATTGCTTAACTAGCTTTTAATATGTGGTAAACCCGTGGTTAATTTGAATAAATGACATGGAAATGGACTAGTCGAGATATTAAGAGCTGGCTACAGACTATAAAGCTATTCAGTTCAGATTATTTGTTTTGTGAAAGTTTAAAAAGATTTGAGCTCATAAAGAGACTTCTGATGGGAGATGTAGGTACGTCTGAAGTCTGAAAGTTTAGAGAAAACACGTGCGAGCTTCTCAGGAGAAGCAGGAGACTTCTCTGTTTGCTCTTCATAGCCTACTGCTGTCGAGGAAACAAATGACTAATGGACTAACATAAATTGTGCCTACATATCAGTTTCTTTCTGAAGTCTCGAGTGATTTATTTAGTCAATGAATGAGTTGGACTGAGTAGAGGAAAATCAGCCAAGTGCCTGGCATGTGAACTCTTTCACTTCAGCAGGGATTAAACCCATGATAGGAGGCACTCAATGAATAAAATCCAGAGACAGTTTTGGATTTGTCTTAAATTCGAATCACAAGTGCCACAGTTCTGATGCTATACCAAAAATGACAATAAAAAGAAAGAGTAGGTGTGTCCAATCTAGTGAAAATCGAGCAAGACTTCTATTTTAAATAAATCGCAAAAGCTTCCAAAGCTCATTTCCAACATAAAAGTTTATCATATAAACCCTGCCACTTCTTCTCCAGACTGCGTGATCCTGGACTTGGGCTGTGCGCGCACTCTGGTTTCGGGAGAGATGCGCGCGCTGCGAGCCCCGGTGCTGGTAATGGGGCTCGTATTGTTAATCTGCACTGCCGCACAAAGCGATGCCAGCGCGAACAAAGTGGAGAAAACGCTCAGACGGATCATGGAAATCATGAGACAGGTGGAAAATAGCGCTGACGACGAGAGCGCGCAGAAGACAGAGAGCGCGCCTGAGCCGAAGGACACGCACCATCTCAAAACGGCAAGTGGAGAAACAATTTTAGGTAAGCAGGGCATTTAAAGATGCACAAAATGTCAGTGAACTATATATTAGAATGTGGGATGACCCAAACTGAATTTTCAAGCAAAATGTTGTCTAATAAGTACAGTGCTCAGCATAACAGAGTACACCCCATTTTGAAAATCAAGATTTTTTTTATCTATTTCTCAGTGAATAGAGGCAATGTATTTTGGTGCATTTAAACAAAACAGATTTATTAAACAGATATATTTATTAAAATAACATTTTAGTCACCAAACATATTCAGAAATTTAATACAATTAAATTTAAGCTAAATATTGCACAAAAAAATGACAACCTACAAAATTTCAACTAAATCTTTTAATTGTTGTGCTTCTGTTGATTTAGTCTTTTTTTTATTTGTATTTAATATTTTTCTATAAAATATACTGTATATTTGGCTTTACTAGTTTTTGGACCGTTATCACCAGATTTGGTTCAGTACTGACTAATCAAATGTATATGCACAAATATAATATTGTATAGCTTCTTATTAAAAATATGAATTTAAAAGAGAGATGTGTGAGGGGTGTACTTATAGATTCTGAGCACTGTTTTACAAATAAAGGTTTCAAAAGAGGGCTTTAGCATTCATGCCATGGAAGAACAATTTTCAGCTCCATAAAGAACATTTCAGTCAACATTTCTAATAAGAATCAAGATTTTCTTAGTTTTAAGAACATTTTAATCATCATTAACATTTTATTCAGAATGAAAAGGTTCTACGATTGTTAAATGGTTCTTTGTGGAACTATTAATGGCAATAGTTGCCAAAATTAAAGTTTCCTAAATGGCTGGTATATTTAGGAGTTTATTTTCCTGTTAAGCACAAAAGAAGATACAATGTTGGAAACTGGTAGCCATTAGGGATAGAATATATGGAGGTCAGTTGCTGTTTCCAACATTGTTCAAAATATCTTCTATCGTGCTCAACAGGAGAAATAAAAAACTCAAAATGAAAGTTTATTGATGACAGAATTGCAAAAATGAGCTGTAATTTATTAGTCTACTAAATAATTAACTCCATGCATCTACTTTAGGTCACACTGAAACAATTTGATTACAAGAGACTGCATAAATGGTTCTGAAAATTGGCTCAGTGACCATGATCACTTGCAGCCAGTTGGTGTTACATTTTGATATTTAATGCAATGACATCTTACGTGTGGTCACTGAATGTGCCATCTTATGTTTGAGCTACTTTTTAAAGCAATGTGACTTACCCTCAAGTCTCGATTCTTTCTAGAATGAGGTCAAAGAGCTTTGCATTGCATCTGTTGTGTGTTGAATCAGACATGTGGAATTGGACGTCAGTTTGGGCAGAAGATTATGGCCAACTTAAGACTTTGTATGAGAGGGAAGAGTGCAGTCTTCAATTAAATGTTCTTAACTTGAATTGACGGTTCCTTAAAGAAAATATATCATCCGCAGAACCTTTATATTGCCCTAAAAGTTATTTAGGTTATTAAAAAGAAGTGTTCATTAATGTGGAACCTAAAATGCGATGAAAACTATTTTGCAACCTTTATTTTTAGGAATAAGCTAAATTACTGAAGGTATATTTCTGTTTGAACTTACTTAAAAATTAGCGAGTTTGTGTTGGATGCTAAAAATAGGGAAGCACAGCTTGTTTTGATGTCTAAAGTGCTTAGTCGGAGTGTGGTCATTGCTAGGGAATGTTGAGCTGAGCGATTTGTCTCTCTTGAAGGATCAGCGGATATCCAGCATTTAACCTTTGAATGTCTCTTTTTCCTTTGTAGAAATCTTTCCCAGAGACCTCAGTAGGAAAGAGAAATTTATCACAATATTAACAGGTAGGAGACTGTCGAATCCTCTGAGACATCAAAGCTGTGTGTTTGAGACTTCTGACCTTGTTGTTTTCCATCCGTCAGGTCCTCTTTATTTTGGTCCAAAGTGCAAGAAGGATGTCTACAGGCTTTACCACAACACTAGAGACTGCACCATCCCTGCACGTGAGTACCGTTCCACTCCATCACTCGATGCTACAGGTCACATCTCTGCCCACATGCACCACCTCCCTTTATATTCATGACAGTCTCATGTCGGCTAGGTGCCGCTGATTTACCCCTGCACACAGAAACAGTATAGGCTACAAATTCAGGACTCATCCAGATGATTATCCAACTCATCCAGCTTTACTCCTGTCCTCAGACTACAAACGGTGCGCACGGCTCCTGACACGACTGGCGGGGACTCGGAAATGTCAAGAGGGTTAACTTCTAATTACCAGGTAAGACGCTTACAACTCCCCCTTTTCCTTTCTGATGTAGGAAACTAACAGTGTTAGAAATAAAGGTACAAAAAAGGGTCACTGTGCTGGAACTGGCTTTTCAAAGGGTGCACTTTTGTATTTTTAGGACACTACTAACCTGGATATCTAATGTTCCGATACAGACCTTTTTGGTAACGTGTACATTCTGAAAAGGTGCTGCCCCAGTAACAGCTTTTGTACCCTTACTTGCAAGAAGCATAACTTAAGGAAAAGATGGGGAATAGGGCATACTCATGGTCCTCAGAGTCTATAAAATGAAGGGCATTGATTGATTAAACACTATATCTAAATGTGTGTGTATATTGCTAAAGGATTTGGGACATCTGTCTGTACATACACAATCTTTAAAGTGAGAATTCACCTAAAAATTAAATTTCTGCCATCATTTATTCAACCTTGATTCAAATCTTTATGAGTTTGTTTCTTCTGTTAAACACAAAAGAAGTCATTTTTAAAAAATGCTGAAAACTTTTTTCCTTTTTTTAACCTAAAATAGAAGTTACAGGTTTTCATCTTTATTCAAAATCTATATTTTTTGTTTTTAACAGAAGAAACAAAGTTATAAAAATTTGGAAACTCTTGAGAGCGAGTTAATAGTGAGTATATTTACATTTCTGGGTAAACTATCCCCTTAATGACATCCCGATCTTAGTCTCTATGGTTTAATATGGAGTTGGCCCACCCTTTGCAGCTACAACTCTTCTGGGAAGGCTTTCCACAAGGTTTAAGAGTGCGTTTATGGAAAAGTTTGACCATTCTTCTAGAACAGGGGTCACCAATCTCGTTCCTGGAGGTCTGGTGCCCTGCAGGGTTTAGCTCCAACTTGCCTCAACACACCTGCCTGGGTGTTTTAAGTATACCTAGTAAGACCTTAATTAGCTTGTTCAGGTGTGTTTGATTAGGGTTGGAGCTAAAATCTGCTGGACACCAGACCTCCAGGAACAAGTTTGGTCAGGGACTGATGATCTCCTCTTTAAAACATGCTAAATATATTCTCTTGGGTTGAGCTCAGGACTCTGTGCAGGCCGGTCAAGCTCCTCCTCACCAAACTTGCTTATTAATGTCTTTATGGACCATGCTTTGTGCACTGGTGTGCAATTATGTTGGAACAGGGATACCCATCACCAAACCCTTCCCAAATTGTTGAAGAAATTTTCCAAGTATTGGTATGCTTAAGCATAAAGAGTCTAGCCCAAACCTAGAAAAAAACAACCCCACAGCATAATATCCCTCCACTAAACTTTACATTTTTCACAGTGTAGTCCAGGGGTGTCCAAACTCAGTCCTGGAGGGCCGGTGTCCTGCAAAGTTTAGTTTCAACTCCAATCAGACACACCTGGGCTAGCTAATCAAGCTCTTACTAGGCTTTCTAGAAACATCTGTGCAGGTATGTTGAGGCAAGTTGGAGCTCAAATCTGCAGGACACTGTCCCTCCAGGACCGAGTTTGGACACCCCGGGTGTAGTCAAACAAGTACAGTTCTCTTGACAAACACTAAACCCTCCATAAAACACCTAGAGTCCAGTGGTGGCCAGCTTTACACCACATTTTGCATTGCACTTGATGCTGTAAGCTTGGACCCAGCTGCTCTGCCATAGAACCCATTCCATGAATATCTCTACACACTGTTCTTGAGCTAATCTGAAGGCCACACAAAGTTTGTCATTTGGAGCCGTGTCTGAGTCCACTAGCTCCTTTCAGAGGTGCATCCTGCTCTGTGCGCTCATAAACTAATCCAGAAACTGAACCTGGATGATGGAAGCATTCAGCGGTGCTTCTGACTGAGCCGAGCCCAATTTGATGAACTGTTGTCGGTGTGTGCAGGAGGATTTTCCCCTGGGACACCAACAACTGGCGCTACGTCGTAATCACGCCCCCACAAGAGCAAGCTCCTGATTGGTTAACTCGGCGCGAATGTCAGCTGAAATTCACATTATCGAACGCTCAATTCGCGCCAAGCCATTCGTGCGTATCGTGCCGCAGGATGTCTGTTTGCACGTTGGCATTGACTTAACATGTAAATCACTCGTGCTTGATGCTTCTCCCGCGTCTGGTGTGAACACAGCATAAGGCAAAGGTCTCATACTTAATTCCTTGAGGGCTGAAGCTCTGCAGATTTTCTCCAACCCCAATCCAACACAGCTGATCCAACTAATAAAGGTGTTCAAGACCTCTAGAGACTATTTGAGGTGTGAGTTGGAGGTGGTTAGAGCTAAACTGTGCAGGGGTCCGTTCTTCGTACGTGGATTAGTCAGTTAGCTGGATTTGGATATTGACGATTTGACACGATCCAGGATCGTTTCGTTCTTCAAAGCTGATCCGAGAGTTGTTGTCATAGCAACAGTTCTGCTAGGTCAAACCTGATCGGGAGCAGGTTCAATTAATATAAACAGGATTAGATCGGCTTAGTTCAAGCAAAGATAATACAGAAAGTATGTTCCGAATTCTGATATTTTCTTACAGTAGTAGTTATATACACTTGGGAAAATGGTACATATTTTTTAACTATATATATATATATATATATATATATATATATATATATATATATATATATATATATATATATATATATATAAAGTTATAGTCATTAATAAAATAAATTAAGTTATACATATTAATAAAACGTATGCAATCTGCACCCTCGAAATGAAAGTACAAAGACTGCCACCTGGTGGTGCAAAGAGAAAACTTATTGATAAGAACTTTTTAGATCGCTTTAGTACAAATTGTGTATAATAGAAATGCACAATATGTGACTTTTTTTTAAAGCAATAATACATTTATGCAGTCATAAACATGTTTTGATAGTTAATATGCCAGTGATTTGATGCTTCACAAAAGTTGCAGACACCTTTACCAATATCAAAACGCTTTTGTAAACAACCAGTTATTCTTTACACCGAATAAAAAACCAGCTTCTATAATAAAGAAAATATTTTCTAAATGTGGAACTAAATACATTGATTTGCATTGAAATACATGATGAATACTCTTGACACATGAAAGTGGAAAGCCTGCAGCTCACAACAAATGTGGAAGGTTATTGCGTGTCATATTTAACAAGCCGTTTACTGCTAATTTGATGTAATTTTGCTCACATGGATAATTGAATATTAATCAGATGATGTCATTAGCTGCTGTGGCGTCAGCCAATCGTTGCATTGCTGATCATGATTTCGAGGATCGATAGATCTGTCCTTCACAACACACGCAGCGATCTCAGATCAGTTCATCCAGACATTCTAATCTGATTCGCGAACTCATTTGAAGAACCAAATTAGCCAGAGATCAGTTATCAAGATTAAAAGATCCGGGATCTGCCAAATAATCTTAGATCATTTAAGCGAGGTACGAAGAACGGACCCCTGAGCTGTGGCTCTCCAGAAATTGAGTTTGAAACAATTGATCTAATCTAATGTAATTAGCAGTTTTTACAGTTGAATATGCATTACGTCTATAGAGAGTCCTCATAAGCCATATATACAAGTATATGTGTGTAGGCAAACTACATAAGTAAATCACATTCATAAAGAACACATGTACTTGGAGGTTTATGGTTGAAAATGGATTCCAAGATTAGATAACCAATCCAAGCTATAAGCTGCATATCTCAGCAGTAAAGACCCCTGGGATGTGATTTAAGCGGGTGCACAAGGTTTGTGTCAATTCTTTATTGTGAAGTGCTTCTTTCTAGGACCGCTCTGCAGGGAGTGTGCGTAACAAGCCCCGTTTCCCAATTTTTTGTTCTCAGAAGGAAAAGATTACATCCAAAATGCACACATGTAGATACACAGAGCCAAGTCTGAAACAGCACTAAACTCCACTTCCTTTATCAAGCAGGTTGAAGCCAAACCAGAGTGACCCAGAGAAAACAACAAAAACAGCAGTCAGAAGTGCCTTTGGACAAGAGAAGAGAATTTACACCAACACGCAACATTCCACATAATCAGCACATCACGTCCAGAGCACTGCTCGGCCTCTCTGGAGAATAGATGAGGGAAAGAATTGATAGAGCAGTAAATGGACAGAAAAATGGGATGCTCTTGCCCAAGGACGGTATGATGGACTCAGCATGGAGCCGATGTTCAAATACAAGATGTCAGAGAACGAAAACAGAGAAACGCATCTGGCGTTTTGGGTTCTGAACCCGTCTGCCAAAAAACGAAAACCATTTTCCATTGTTTCATTGCGAAAAAGGGATTGCCGTGTTTTTTACGCTGTGTTCTCATCAGACGTTGATACTGATGTTCCGTGCGACGAGCCTCAACGGGGTTGCAAATACAAGGACCTGTCAGTGCAATGAGAGAGAGCTTTCATTTTCTCCGTGCTAGTAAACTGCATGAACTTCTGCTTTCGCTTCAGTTTGCCAGCAGACAGGTCGAGTTCTGCAGTAAATCTGTGACCAGAAGCTTCTCGATGTTTGTTTGTTTGTGAGACTACGACTGTGGAAATACATTCAGTATATTTTGATATGTGAATATTGTACATACGAGACTTACAAATCCCTATAACAAACCACATAAGCATCTGGCGTACGAATGCTTCGTTGGGATATGTATATTTAAAAGAAAATATATTTAAATAAATTATGATTGTTTAAACGCTGTGGTGTTTGATATCGCAAAAAAATACTGTCTCGATCTGGATTAACGGCTTATCTTGGCATCAGAAAACCTGTTTCTGAGGGAGTCTGGGAGTTCTTATCGGTCACGCTGGATGCTTTGGATGCTTCTGAGATATTGAATTTTTTTTCCCCCGGTCTGTAACCACACCAAAGATAACGGTCATCTTCTGTTGCTAAATAGTTTAGCGATGGGGAAAACTGTCCAGGGAGTTCCTCAAAAGATGAAGAGGATGGATGAGAGAAGAAAACAACTGGAGGAGAAAGCGAACAAAAGAGTAAATAAATTGAGTCTTGGGGTAAAGCGCGATGAATCAAAACAACAAGCAAACTTTAAGGTTGGCTGAAAAGAGAGAGTCTAAAAGTACTTTTGTTTTGATGTTTCTGCACAGAATTGAGTAAATAACCTGTGGATTTACGCCGAATGATTTTGAGAGTGAAGGAGCTGAAAAGCTAACGCGTAACAAACAAATAACAAACCATTCATTTTCCTTCAGCTTAGTCCCTTATTTATTACGAGTCACCACAGCAGAATGAACCACCAACTATTCCGGCATGTGTTTTAAACAGCGAATGTCATTTCAGCTGCAACCCAGTACTGGGAAACACCCATACACTTTCGCATTCACACACAATCATACACTAAGGCCATTTTAGTTTATTCAATTGCCCTATAGCGCATGTCTTCGGACTGTGGGGGAAAACGGAGCACCTGGAGTAAACCCACACCAACAAGAGGAGAACATGCAAACTCCACACAGAAATGCCAACTGGCTCAGCCGGGACTCGAACCAGCGATCTTCTGGCTGTGAGGCGACAGTGCTAACCACTCTCTCTGATATAATGCATCTGCTAAGAGGCAGAGAATATTGCTTAACAAAAATCGCTTATTGTACAAAAATGAACTAAAATACTGCATATTACTCAATAATATTCCTGAAATTATTGCAAAAACTGAATAAATATACATTTACACCCATTTACAGAAAGTAAATAATAGATTAAAGGTGTAGTATGTACGTTTGACACCCAGTGGTTGAACTAGGTATTGCACACCTGGTTCAAAACAAACACAGATTGCCAGATTGACAACACCAACAGTAGTGTGCCTGACGATCGATTGTCCTAACCAGCACCTGAAATGTTTATTTTAGAAACGTTAAAGTTTATTTATTATAGCTGAACAACAGAAAACTGACAATGATCACCTCAGATGCAGCTCATGTGCTTTATTCAGTGTTAAATGCTAACAATGTGAGTTTGACTGCCATTTTACATCACATTTATTTTGATACTACTAAAAAGACCAGCAGATAGTTCGCCTCAGATCTTGAAATTAAACTGTTTGAAATGGAAATTCAGTGCAAAGCAACACATCAGTGATTCAGCACGTACATTTAATAATGTTAAAGAGGTTTAATATGTATTAATTAGATTATAAACCTTTACCATTTCATTGGAGTGCAGTGAGTGCACTATTGTGTGCTTCTGAATGCCTGTATTTACATTTCTGTCATGTTTCTTTTTATGCAAACAGCCAAAATGCTTATCACTGCATTGCTATGTTTTGCACAAAGCCCACCCGGGGTGTTAAAATATAATTGGCTAAACTGGCATTGGGCAGGTTAAATTAACCATAACAAAGGCAGACGTTCTGGCATGTAACTCACATTTTCAAAGCAGAATATCTGATTTCAGCATTGTTTTTCAGATAAACAAGAATGTTCACTTAGCATGATTATTAAATATCTGCAAACATATGCTATTTTTATGCTTTAGAAAAATCAAAAACTTAAAGCACCTTTAAATGATGGACTTATAAAACTGCTGATATCTATAGGCACTACAATAAAAATATCTTTAAACCCAGTTAAAATAAAGTTGAATATCTTTAAGTCCCGTCACACATCCACATGTCAACAAGTCTATTATGTTTTTGTCGTCTTCAGTAGCTTGTTGTCGTTTCGTCTCCATTTCTTTTCAGACTGAAAAACAAAGGCTCAGTGTTGACCCCTTGTGGACAAGCTATAAAAGGGCAAAAACTATTTCAAATGTAATACTAAGGTTAATAAAGAGATTTGAGCATACAAAGGCTGTCAAATCAGGGAAAGAAATCTTTAATTCGATTTAATTAAAATTAAAATTCAATTTATTTCTTTTTTAAAGATAAAGATGGATGAGTTTGTACCAGCATGAAGGTGAGCATTTAACAAACAAAACATTCATTTATTCATTTTCTTTTCAGCCTAGTCAATTTATTAATCAGTGGTCGCCACAGCTGAATGAACCGCCAACTTATCCAGCATATGTTTTACGCAGCGGATGCCCTTCCAGCTGCAACCCAAAACTGGGAAACACACATACAAACTCTTTTACACACATGCACCTCAGCCAATTTAGCTCATTCAATTCACCTCTACCACATGTCTTTGGACTGTGGGGGAAACCAGAGCACCCGGAGGAAACCCACGCCAACACGGGGAGAACATGCAAATTCCACACAGAAATGCCAACAGGCCGAGACGGGACTCGAACTAGCAACATTCTTGCTATGAGGCGATCGTGCTACCCACTGCGCCACCGTGACGCCACTATAACAGAAACATTAACACATTACAGAAAAAACAGACAAAAACAATTAAATAATCTCAGGCACAAGTAATTCCAGCACTTTTATCTGGTTTATTTTGGTGAACTTCCTCTCTTCAGAGGGCATGGTCAACAAAAGCAGTTTACAGCTGCTCAAACAAGCATCCTACGACATTTCATTACAACTTAATTCACAATTAAGACAAAGTGCTTCTCTATATGCTGCTGTCAATTAGTTTGTGTGTGTTTTGCTTAAGAAGACACTTGATTTGTGTTTCGGTTGGTTGTACACTGCAGAAAAAGCTTTTCTTATTCAGTTTTTGTCTTGTTTCTAGCCCAGAAATGTAAAAACTCTTAAATCAAGAAGCATTTTCTAGACAACAGAACATATTGTCTTGTTTTAAGAAATAATATGCCAAGAATGAGTGAGTTTCTCCCTAAAACAAGCTAAATAATCAGCCAAAGGGGTAAGCGAAATAATCTCACGTCAAAAGGAAAATCAATATTATTTTACCTTAATTACAGAATATTTAGCTTGTTTGCAGAAAAAAATAACTCAATTTTGCCTTAATATTTCTAAAAACAGAACATTACGTTTTGCTTGTCTAGAAAATGCTTCTAGATTTAAGAATTTCTAGATATTTGGACTAGAAACAAGACAAAAAAATGTAAGGATAGCATTTCAGTGTATATATTTGAGTAATTAATAGAGGTCTCGCAGACTTCAGATGCAGTTGTGTGTGTGTGTGTGTGTGTGTGTGTGTGTGTGTGTGTGTGTGTGTGTGTGTGTGTGTGTGTGTGTGTTTGGGTGTGTGTGTGTGTATGCGTTACGAATGTTGCTCCAGGAAGGCTTTGCAGCATCTCGCACACTGTTCATACACCGTCTCAAAGTCTTTATCACTGCCCTGCAAGCAAAACAAACAGATACAATTAAAGAATGACCAAAAGCAAAGAGACATCATCAAAAACAGACAAAAAATACCATTTCAATTGAAAGACATGGAAATATCAGCTGAATATGATCAGAAAAGTGCATTTGGCTGCTGATTTGGACTAAATGTAAGTTCCAATGCAGCCTAGAGGCCGGTTTCCTATTCTTCAATGGCACAAAGAGCTGCCAGCCTCTACCAGCTGGTTGGAATAAAAAAGTACTGTAAAGGAAGCTCAACTTCACACCTTTCAGAAGGATTTATCTTCTATCAAGCTCATCCTGTCTGTGTCCCACATGTTCAGCCTGGTGAAATGTGTCTTCAATCAGCCCTTAATCGTATTCCAAAACCAAAAGCTGGTGGGATCGGGATGACCTGACGATGTTTGAAGGAGAAATGCAAGGGATCTCGGTTCGGTTGGCCCTTTTTCTGGTTCTTTCCCCGTTTCTATTTCACAACACCCTCCCCTATCATCTCTCATAATCCACACGGCTCCCTTTCCAAACCTCAGTTTTGCGGTTTTATCAGTTGGATAATCATCTTGTGTGTCATAACTGGGTTTTTGTGACAATAAACACTTCTGCTTGAAACACCAAATAAATGCTCTTACATTGGCTTGATATTACCAAACAGGCCTTGAACAACCTCAATGTGCACACAGATCCGCCTAAAGAGTCATGGATGATTCGTTTTCATCACTGCTGCCAGAGTTATTTGTGGAGTGGAGGAATAGAGAAGAGACAGATACACAACAGAGCCATTGGATTCGAGTTTATTTTGCTCCCTTTGGATTAAAAGCATCAGTGTTTTTCACAAATGCATGCTGTTATTCGCCATTACATGCAATATAATTAACATATATTCTTCATGGCTTTTAAACTCACAGCATAGTCAATTTTAGGCCCTGGTTATAAAGAACACATTTTTTTGTGCCTTAATAAAGTTGTTTTCAAATGGCAGGGGGCATTTTGCATGCTGTTTAGCTTTAAAAAGTCAAATAAAAAAATGTGAGATTATGTTTATTTCTACTGTCTAATCAAATAAATGAAGAAGCAAGCTTTTTGCAGTGGCACAGTATGTAATTTTCACCACTAGAGGAAGTATATTCAAAACAAACAAAGGTGTAGACCAGGGGTGATCAATCCTGTTCCTGGAGATCTACCTTCCTGCAGATTTCAGTTGCTACCCATATCAAACACACCTGCCTGTAATCATCAAGTGGTGTTCAGGTCCTAATTAATTGGTTAAGGTGTGTTTGATATGGGTAGCAACTGAAATCTGCAGGAAGGTAGATCTCCAGAAACAGGATTGAGCACCCCTGGTGTAGACTGACGACACTGTGACTGAGTGTGGAATCATGGGAGTTGTGGTCTTTATTAGATCCTACTAGACTCCTAAATTCATGATGATGGACGAGCTAATGTAAACCCGCAGTCCTAAAACACCCAACCTGCTCAGGGCTGGGATCGAACCTGTGACTTTCTGCATGGGAGTCAGCTGCTATAACATTGAGGCTAAAGAACATGGCCTCTAGCATGTCGCTAGAGCACATTTTCTAAGTCAGGGGTGAGGTTTACCTGCATAGCACTTCACTACCTGCCCTCCGTTACACTCACCCCCCTAAACTTCACTGCCATCCCGGACGAGCCCCCACATTTAACCCACCTGTTCTACTGCACCCAACCCGGTCTGAGCTGGGATTAAACTGGCGATTCTCTATATGGGAGTCATTTGCTCTAACAAGGAGGCTAAAGAACATGGCCTCTAGTGTCTGTCGCTAAAACACTTTTTCTTATGAGTCAGAGGAGTGAGGTTTACCTACATAGCACTTCACTAGCTGCCCTCCGTTACACTCACCCCCCTAAACTTCACTCCCATCCCGGACGAGCCCCCACGTGTAACCCACTTGTTCTACTGCACCCAACCCGGTCTGAGCTGGGATTAAACTGGCGATTCTCTATATGGGAGTCATTTGCTCTAACAAGGAGGCTAAAGAACATGGCCTCTATTGTCTGTCGCTAAAACACATTTTCTTATAAGTCAGAGGAGTGAGGTTTACCTACATAGCACTTCACTAGCTGCCCTCCGTTACACTCACCCCAGCCGGGGTCACGGCACCAATGTAACCCTGCCAGTTCTACACCACCCAACCGTCTCCGAGCTGGGATCGAACAGGCGACTCTCCACTTGGGAGTCAGTTGCTCTAACAATGAGGCTAAAGACCATGGCCTCTAGCATCTGTCGCAAGAGCACCTTTTTTTAGAGGTCAGAGGAGTGAGATTTACCTGCACAGAACTTTACTAGCTGGCCTCCTTTACACTAAAGTATTCAATACTTATTATCATAGCTGCATAAAGCAGGGTAAGGCTAAAAGATGGTGAAAGGAAACAAGCTTTGCTGATTAGAGATGTGGAGCAGAGCTTGTATTATGCTACAGTCCACGTCATCCAGTTCTTCTGCGCATGATTACATGGAGAAGCAGTGCTGTTTGATCAAAGTAAATACATCTTTTAAGCTCTGTTATAATGCTGTTCTGTGCAGTTGAATAACACACACAAGTGGGTTTCTCTGTTTACTGTAAAAGAAAACCAAAAATCGAGGGTGTGTGACGTCATTAGCATTCAGTTAAAATAGGCAATTTCCATTCCAATTAGCATTAGAAATATGTGCCCAGGACTATATTTTTGAGAACTGACAAATATGTACCCTAGACTATCTTTTCACCAATCCACTGGAGAGAACTGTGTACATGTTTGACAATCGCAAGTACGTTACTTGGGCACATTTTCTCTTAAATATACCAGAGGGCGCTGCACACATTTCTGCGCAAAATTAATGTCCTTCCCGTGCGCGTCTTTGAGAGAAGCCAGGAGGCTTGTCATACATGCTACATCTCATTGTATATCAGCTCATGCTGTTTTTTTAGGTTTTGTTTTTCCTGGTTTCTGGAACTATCCTTTGTTAGACTCATTACCCTTCTTCTTTGCTTTCCAAGTCTGTTGCTATTTTGTGGTTTGCTACTGAGCATCTAATTATGCCTGAAAATCTGTATATATTGAGGTAAGCAGTCATCCGTACAGCCCCATAGTGTTTGTTTTACACAAATGATGCAACCATATGTACCCACAAGCACATATTTCTCGGTTCTTAAAAATGTACACCAAGGCACATTTTCCCAATGAGCCTGTGTTGCTTATTTCTCTGGATTTCAGCATTCTTTGAAGAATTAGTGATAGTGCAAGTAAACAAGTTAGCAAAATAAAGCACAACTCTAGTGATTTTTGCATATTTTACTGAAGACAATTTGGTTAATTGTGCTTTTAAAGCTGCTCTAACAATATGATAATAAAACTAATAAAAATATAATGGACTATTTCTGTATTCCTTTCAATTTAATTTTAAGAAGCTAATTTCTAATATTCTAGAGTCATTACACTCAATGTGAAACATTTTAAATTGCTGCATTTTAATGGGAAGAGGTAGTTGCTGTTTTTCAGTACTACTAATGTTGTTTAATGTTTGCCTAAGCGTGTGGTATGATGTATGTGTAGGAAATCTAATATGCTGCAGAACAAATTGCCCCAAAAGGAAACAATAAAGTTTACAGTAACAGTAAGAGTTTTCGATGGAAATAATGGTTAGGATACTTAAGAAAAACAAATTAAAACTAGACAGTAAAGTTCGTCGAGACAAACTTTGAGGCTGGCTTGACAAAGCCTGTTGGTAATAGTTTATTTAGTTTAGAAACAGTTTGAAAAAGTGTAAGTAGCATGTTATAAGCATGATTCTAGCATGAATTAGCATGATTCTAGCATGGATTAGCATGTTATTAGCATGATTGTAGTATGAATTAGCATTGTTATTAGCATGATTCTCGTATGAATTAGCATGTTATTAGCATGATTCTAGTATGAATTAACATGTTATTAGTATGATTCTAGCATGAATTAGCATGTTACTAGCATGATTCTAGAATAAATTAGCATGTCACTAGCATAATTCTAGTATGAATTAGCATGCTACTAGCACGATTCTAGTATGAATTAGCATGCTACTAGCATGATTCTAGCATGAATTAGCATGTTACTGGTATGATTCTAGCATGCATTAGCATGTTACTAGCATGATTCTTGTATGAATTAGCATGTTACTAGCATGATTCTAGCATGCATTAGCATGTTACTAGCATGATTCTTGTATGAATTAGCATGTTACTAGCATGATTCTAGCATGCATTAGCATGTTACTAGCATGATTCTCATATGAATTAGCCTGTTACTAGCATGATTCGAGTATGAATTAGCATGTTATTAGCATAATTCTAGCATGAATTAGCATGTTATTAGCATGATTGTAGTATGAATTAGCATGTTATTAGCATGATTCTAGTATGAATTAACATGTTATTAGTATGATTCTAGCATGAATTAGCATGTTACTAGCATGATTCTAGAATAAATTAGCATGTCACTAGCATAATTCTAGTATGAATTAGCATGCTACTAGCATGATTCTAGTATGAATTAGCATGCTACTAGCATGATTCTAGCATGAATTAGCATGTTACTGGTATGATTCTAGCATGAATTAGCATGTTACTAGCATGATTCTAGCATGCATTAGCATGTTTCTAGCATGATTCTCGTATAAATTAGCATGTTACTAGCATGATTCTAGCATGCATTAGCATGTTACTAGCATGATTCTTGTATGAATTAGCATGTTACTAGCATGATTCTAGCATGCATTAGCATGTTACTAGCATGATTCTCGTATGAATTAGCATGTTACTAGCATGATTCTAGCATGCATTAGCATGTTACTAGCATGATTCCCGTATGAATTAGCCTGTTACTAGCATGATTCGAGTATGAATTAGCATGTTATTAGCATGATTCTAGCATGAATTAGCATGTTATTAGCATGATTGTAGTATGAATTAGCATGTTATTAGTATGATTCTAGTATGAATTAAC